TTTTCCTTTCTCTTTGGAGTGTTACAAGCTCTTGGTGCATAAAGAAGATCTGTAAAGTTGCAAAGACTAAAGTCTCAAACCCAAAGAGATATTTTATTTAAAAGTTAAGACTCGTCCACACCCACCTAAAACGCCTAGTTTAAACATGCCCCCACATGTCTACGTCACTATGTGGGAAGATTTGCATAACACCATCCAAATGTTTACACTAAGAAAGAAGGCGTAACTTTTATTCTTGCTGTAGTATTGTTGCTGCCGCCACCATGTCGTGGAGATGCTGTGTTTCGTTGTGAAAGTGAAACTACTTTGTTTGGTCTTCCAAAAGAGGACACAACTAGAAATCAGTAGTTAAAGGTGGGGTAATTTCTAGTGGGGTAATAGGGGTAATTTGAAATCACCAAAACAAACACGCCCCTACCCCCAAAGGGTCTTGCCCCTATTTTGATAGCTCCGCCCCACACATACATACGCAACCCAGGCAACGATTAGTTCTGTGAAACAAAGCAAAATCAATGTTACACCGTGTCTACACCGGACGCGAGTGGTATAAAATACTATAGAACTCATAATCAGTGATGCTGTCTACACCATAGATATATATACATACACATATCTATGGTCTACACTGGCTGCGGCACAACACGACAAATCCCCGACAGAAAACTGCTGCTGCGTTCTATTTATGACGTATTGACACAAATTTCAAATGATTTCCAACAGTCGCTTTGTCGCGTCCAGTGTACTAGACAGACTTTATCTGTTGCGGCGCAGACACGGTGTTACTCACCTATCGAGAAGAAACAAAGCAACCTCGGCGTCCGATCGCAGGCCTTTAGTGTAGCGCTTGTTGTTTGTCATTTCTCCAATCACAAATGCAGACATGGTTTTATGTTTACGCGGCGCGATGCAACGCGTAAAAAGACAGTAGAAGTCATTATAATCCATAATTATGTCCCCACTGGATGCAACAAATGCCTCGTTTATAATGGTTTTTATCTCGTTGCACCGTGACACGGCATCACAATATAGTAAGGCCAATCACAACGCTCTGGATAGCTGGCCAATCACAGCACACCTCGCTTTTCAGACCGATGAGCTTTGTAAAAATCGACGCTTTTCAGAAAGGCGGGGCATCGAGGAGAAACCATAATGTACAGTATGTGGAAAATAATGTGTTTTTTACCAAATACACAAAATAATGATCTTTTTTAGCAATGTCATATGACCCCTTTAATAAAATTGTGTATAATGTTGTGTAATTTCAATTCCTTTATTATCCTGCTAGGAGTTGTACTAATCTTTATTCCTCTTGGATTAGAAATAAAGGTGTTTTTATTCATGCTGTGTTCATTTTCATTTGAACTTATGTTCATTCTGAGTTCATTCTCACCCATAATTCTGAATCAGCAGTTTTTCCATGTACATTCAATTTCTGCACTGTTTGGTCTTCCTGCTCTGCATTGTGCTGCAGCCCCTTCAGGGGATTGGACCCGTATATTTTCTTTTATATTTCTATATAGCTTCAAAATTTATTTTTATTTCAGTTTTAGTCACTTTAGCACTTCAAATTATTTTAGTTAGATGCAAAGGCAACATTTCTAATTATTTTTTTTAATCTAATATTTGTTTTATTTCAGCTTTACTTCAAAAATGAAAATATTTTAAATAGTTTTATTTAACAATAACAACACTGTTTTGAAGACAAACATCTTTTTCTTTGGGAAAAAATTACACTAATGAATCATGCATGAGACCTGGAATTTTTATAAAGGGTCCACTTTGATTTGTGGTAATTAGATTCAAACACAATAACCCACTTGATCTTAGAACAGAAAAACACTTGTGAGGTAATAAAAAAATGGCCACTTTAAAAATGTTTCCTACCTTGTTAATGGGAATAATGAGGCTGGGCTCCACTTTTGCTTGGATTTCTTCAGGAGTGTAATAGCATGAAATCTGTCCAGCCTTCAGCACACAGAATAGCTTACAGCGGCGCTGCAAACCCTCAATGCTTTGCTAAATGGAAAATCAAAATGCTGATCTTACAAATTTCATTTTATTTACAAATGTTAGTATGAATTGTTATGGCATATATTCTTCCTAGAAAAAGACAAGTTCCTGTCTTACCTGTTGGCTCAGGTATCCGCTTATCATGTCTTGTGTCATGCAGTCAGGTTGTGCCACCAGCTTACAGCACAAGTTACCATACAACGGCAGCCATGATGAAGCCTCCACTGACAGACCGATGGCAGAAAGTAAATCAGAATCACTACGCTAGTCAATTATTAAAACTTGGCTTGTTTGCTCTTACCATTTTGCAGAATTATAAGAGAATGAGACTGGAAAGATCCCTCTGCCTGCTCCAAACCCAGAGTGGTGTACGCCAACAGTGAGTACCGTGCACCTCTGTCACAAAAGTAAGTTATTTATTTGAAAGATATTACAGGCATTTCTCTACTAACACACACACAAAAAAATTTAATTGTAAAGGTAATGAACATAATATCCATCCTTGCATACACTGGTATTGGGTTGGACTGGAGGAAAGTGTCAGGGTCTCCTCCATCCATAAGAGGGCAGAGTTTCCTGCATGAAGATCTGCCGAAAGAGAAGCGTAGTTTCCTGGCCAGTTTTTTTGGAGTGTTGACAAAGGTTGACTCCTCCTCCAGTCCACAGCTATACAGCTCAAATGTCAGTTCAAAGTCCGGCTTAGCTTCAGAGCTGTTGAAAACACTGAAAATGAGCTCAGAACTCAACAGACTGCAGTAAGGCAGTTCAAGCTTGTTTAATCAATAATATAATTTTCATATAGTTCTCAAATGACTGTAGATTTGCAGAGAGAAATAGCGAAAGCTGAAAACTTACAAAATTTTGACACCTTCAAAGCAAACATCGGTCATTGAGGGGTCTGCAATCACCATTTCAGTGTCAAAAATCTCTGAGCCAATCTTCATCAAACAGAAGACTGCAACCCGTTGTGGATCTGCTGGGTTCAGATACACATGGCATCAGCATAACTGGCTATATGAAGACATTTACATATAACAATCTTCAGCATTCACTATGACAGTCTTCAGTGTCACGTGATCATTCAGAAAGCATTCTAATATGCTGATTTGGTGCTCAATAAATATTTCTCATTATTATCAATTTTGAAAACAGTTGTGCTGCTTAACAGTTTTGAGAAAAACATAGGGATGTAACGATGCACCCCGAGCCAGTTGAAAATCGATACAAATATTTGACGATTCCATTCGGTAGAAATGTTAAACGAAACGCGATACAGTTGGGGGTGGGAGTTTATATGAATGTATCTTTGAGAGGAACTGACTGTTTTTAGAAACGTTTAGATTAGTATTTTCTTTTCGTCTTGCCTCTACATAATGCATATTATAGTAGTATTTATAAGCACAGTGCTGCTTTGTTTACAGCAGTAAACAAGGAAACGCTGTATCGCTGCTGTTTCATAAGCAACATCTGCTGTCAGAGAGTGAATTCTCATTCAGCCCGTCTGCCGTTTCGGTTTCGTGCAGATGTTTTATGTAGTGTAGCTTCACAAAGCTAAAGTCAGAACATTCTGTTTTTGCTTAAAATTTCTAAATTAAGCAAAATTTTAAATTGTCATTTTTTATTTTATTTTTCAAAATTTAATTTAGATTAAAAACTGGTTTGTTTTAAAATGTCAATTTAGTTTTTCAATTTCAATTTCACAAAGAAATGTGCAGCATTTTCTCTAAACAATAATAAAAGGACACCTTTTCATTTATAGTCAGTCTTAAATCTCATTTTATACAAAAAAAAAAGAATTGTATCGTGAAATCAGTATCGTGAATCGTATCACATCGTGAGTTGGGTGAATCGTTACATCCCTAGGAAACCATGATGCATTTTTTCAGGATTCTTTGATGAATAGAGCAGAATTTATTTAAAACAGAAATGGTTTGTAACATTCTAAAATGTCTTTACTGTCACTTTTGATCAATTTAACGCCTTGTTGCTTAATAAAATTATTAACTTCTTAAAAAAAAATCTTACAAACCCAAACAAAACTTTTGAATTGTTGGGAGTGTAAGCATACCCATAAACTTAATAAAATTAATAAACACCAAAACGGAGAGCAACATACGTATACATTACATTCATAACATTATTAGCAAGGACAGTGATTTTAAAAAATAATAATAATTACAATATAAAATGTTTTATATTTTCACTCACTCCCTTTGCTGTTAAAGTGTTCTGTATCTTTCCAAAACAATGGAATTCGTAGGCCTGGATAAGCGAAAGAAAAATACATGAACCAAAGACACACTGACATATTAATAATACATATAACAGACAGAGGTATATAAACATATAAAAGTTGTTTTCTTACCAGATATGGCTACCTTTCCTTTACAAGGGATTTGATCCTGAGAGCCAGATGACCTGAAAAATAAATTAATAAATAAAAAAAGGTGATGACCATTTATTTCTTATATGCATGTCTAATAATAATTTACATTAAAAAAAAATTAAAAAAAATTCCACTAAATACTCCCAACAAAAAGTACAGCTGGCAATACACCTGCTGCTCTAACCTTCTGATGTCCTGCTGCGCTTTCCTCATCTGGGATTCACTCATGTAGGCTTTAATTCGGGCATTACAGGTTAACAGACTCCTGGAAGCATCCAGCACCTGCTCTTTTTTAGTGCTGGCAACCAGAAGCTTGTAAGCCCCAGCTCTCATCCGCATCTCAAACTCCAACTTCTCCTGAATATCACAGTCCTATTGGAAGGATAAATTCCATCAGGAGAAATAAACACAGTTTTGGGTAAAAAAGGCTAGAGGAAGAACATACTGGAAGAAAACGACTCTACCACACAATCTATTAGGCCTATACAATAATTCCTAAGGCAGGTGCATACTACTGATTGATGGATAGATGAGATATGGGCATTGGGCACACTGAAAAAAGGAAAATGATACAATGAAGTAACATCAAAACAGCTGGAAGAGAAGATGAGCTCACCCTCTTCTAAGCTGTAAGCGGGTCTCTGATAACCGACAATGACACATGAATTGATGAAAGTGAGTGGAAGTAATGGAATTCTGACTCATTTATGCGAATCGGTTCTTTCGAACAGTTCGTTTAAAAACTTCGATTCAGTGATTCTTTTGTCCGTCCATAATCATGTGTTCCCTGGTGTATTACATATTCCAATAAATCACATGCAGGCACACATTGCTGTGAGGCTTTTTATTACTTAATTGTAATTTCATCACTCATCAGTCCTCGGCTCCAGAGTCCAGACGAATCAGACTTTGATCGGAATTTCGTTTAAATGAGTAAGATGATTTTTTGACGCGAGAACTTATCGCAATGATTCAGTCCGAATCGTGAACGGATCGGTTCTGAGAATCAGCTCAACAGATTTATTGGAAAAAGTCTGATTCACATGAAATAATTCGTTCACGCAAGTGGGTGGTGAAGAAGAGTCGGACAAAGAAAGACAAAACAAGCTAAACACTCACACTTTCTAAAAAGCACTCCTGATTTTAGAGCTGTGCGATGATGTTTCAATTAAATATTTCAATACAATTTCAATACAAAACACAGAATATCAGTGAAACATGATCACACGCTCCCATACACAGACTACCTTTAGTTTCTTAGAAATCTGTTGTATGTACAACAAATTCATGTCCTCTATTATCTGCTGCGTGTCATTCACACTTGCGCATCGCTTCTTATGTCTGTCGTTGGCCTGAGAAAGTATTTAATGTGCCGGTTAAGTTAGTCTTGAATAACAACAACCATATTCCAGACACGAAAAACTAAAACATGAACTTCAACAACACAAACTCACCTCATTTTGAAAAAACATGCTTTCCCTTATTTTCTTTCTCTTAATCTCCATGGCGAGAGAGGAACACGACGATACCGTGGACCGAGTGGCGATGTTTCGTTTAAAATGTTGAATGTCCCGCGGCGGATCCATACTGGCCTCTTCCTCCAGACAAGCCCCTCTCCGCACAACAAACCAACGGATTACACAACCGCCAACCGACCAATCAGCTTCTTTCAAAGCTCTCCGCTGCCGACACAACAGTTGGCCGATACCATTTTTAAATTCGGAAAGGTTGGAATAGCTATACAGCTAAATAGGTTTGAATATATAAGTCAAATTTATGAATATATTTTGGTGAAATTCATAATAAATTTGACAGAAAGTATATTTAAAGCATGTTTTATGCAAATGTTTATGAAGTGGGTTTGTGTTATCACTGTGATTTTGTGCTCATCTCCCCCGGCTGTCTTTAAATAGTTTAAACTGATGGTCTGCCGCACTGCATTCTAATGAATCCTCAATGTTCTGACCGAATCTTTCCAGTCAGATTCAGATCGATTGTAATTTAACACGTAAGGCGATGACATTTTGCAAGCATTTCGCACATGAAAACGGCATCATATGAAAAGAAATCAATGCCACCTCTGTCGCTGCTGTCACGCTCATTCTTGACAACGTCGTTAGTACCAGATGACTTCATACACCTAGATGTCGTACTGTAATCTCAGTCAGAGAGGGACAGAAATATCAAGCAACAGATAATCCGAAGGACCAACGGTTTGATTAAAGGTTACGATACAAAATCCCATTGGAGCTCGTTCATTAAGGTATGGTTGCATGCTTGGTGTTCTAGAAAATGTCAGCTGACTACCTGTCTGATTTTAGACTCTGGCCAGTAACGTTAGATCGCCTGCTTGCATAAGAAGATTTGCATTCATTTCTCTCTGGCAGTTTTTTAAGGTATAGAGGAAATGATGGGTCATTAAAACGTGAGATGACTATGATCGTCGTTTGATGTAAGCATAAGTAAACCATTAAAACAAATGCATTGGATCATGAATTTGATTTGCCAGAGCTTTACATTAACCTATTTAAGCAGCGGATATGATGAAGTTTAATGGTGAAAATAATCAAATAGTCGTGATTCGTGGTTTTCAGTGGATGGAAATTGTCTTGTTCTGTTTTGAATGAATATATGCACACAGCCTAGTCTTAAAGGGGTCATATGATGCGATTTCAAATTTTCCTTTCTTTCAGTGATATACATTCATACATTGTGTCTTTGTTAGGCCTTGTGAAAAGCTTGCTGGATTAAAATGGCTAGTTAGACAGCGAAGTTTGCAGACTAGTTGTCGACCGATTTGGGTTTTCATAGCCCATGCCGATATCTTGAGAGCGCGCAGGGTGGCCGATATAATATTGATACTGTCCGGGCAAGTTGTCACATATTTATTCCATTGAATTTTTATCAGCTTAGGTTCATTTTTAAGCCAATTTCTACATACCCTAAAGTCTATGCTACAAAAATCTGTTTAACATTTCCACCAGTTTTGCCTTGGAAAAAGGCAATACTGATACATGTTGACCTTTTCTGATAACATGTCCCAAGAGGTGTGTTGACCAAAACGTGAAAGCAGAATAACACATAAACGTCTCTTTACTGACCACAGATCTTAAAGGTCCCATATTGTCAAAACTGAAATTTCCTGGCTTTTTTTCACGATAACTGAGGTCTAGGGGCTATTTAACTACCATATAAGTTTCAAAACAGTCAGTCCACAGTAAACTGCACACAGCCTGCATAAAGTAGCTGTGATTTTTCACGAACCGTTGTGACTTCCGTAAAAAGTTGACGTCAGAACTACACAGTCACCGCCTTCAGTCACCACCCCTTGAAAGCTACTGTTCTAAATTATTTTTTTCTATCCAGATTCATGCAGTTACAACATCCACCAGCAGGGGCTAACGAGTCTATGCTAACCAGATAACCATTGACCAGTTTCACCCATCCTGACATTCATGAAAAATACCTGTCCTGAGAACACAAGTTTCACACATGACATATTATTTTATTTAATGTTAAAAAAGAATTAATAAATAAATAAAAAGACTCAAAATAACTATGAATATTTGGTTTATATGCAAATAACATGCATTGACAAGACAATTTTTTTATATATTACTCAAAAATCACAATATATATTTGTATTATATGCAAATAATGTGTATTGACAAAATAATTGACAAATGACTCAAAACCATTACAAATATTTTCATTATATGCAAATAATGTGCATTGACAATACAATATTTAAAAATATTACTCTAAAATCAGAACAAACATTTGCATTATATGCAAACATTGTGCATTAACTTCTCAGTCAAGCAGACATTTTCATCAGCACTAAAATGCATCTAAACACTAAAAATAACAATTATAGACTAATTAATCATTATGCCTGATGTATGTATTTGTTTATTACTAGTATAGACTTATGGTTGCTCAGTTTTTACTGTGAAAAATTCAAACTTGATTGAGGGCCAAACATAAATATTTCCTTTAATATATTAAAATTGTCAATTTTTAAAAGTAAAATTCATTTGTTCCTTTAAGCTCTGAATATGTTTTTGGGTGACCTGTTAACCCTATAAAGCTTACTGTATCATATTTGATAGACAAATTTCAAAGGACTCTAAATTGTCAACATGATCAAAACATTGCTAAAAACCAATTGTACACAAGCCCTCTGTAGTCTGATTGATAGTTTATACTTTTTTAACAAGTAAAAGTCCTTTTAATATTATTATAAAAGAAAGTAAATATAAGAATAACTTTTATATTGTTAGTTTTATATTGATGAACTGGACTGAAGCAAGTTAGGTTTACTTGATTAATTCATACATAATTTATTTTTTAGAAAAACATGTTAAATGTATCAAATATGATACAGTAGGCTATTGAGGAATGTTTATTTATGTCTCTCAATCATCATTGTATTGCATTGTATTATATGTCTCCCTCCCCACATATACATAATAATAAACTACAAAGCTTTGTAATCATAAAACTAAGCATTTAAATATTGGCTTATTAAGACATATTATTGGGAGATATAAACTGATAAACTGATATTTCTATGTAATGCATATAAGTAGTTTGCTATAGTTTTATAAAGAGTTCATTGATTACAATACATCAGAACAATACATTTCATCTTACTTTTTGGCCATGTAAATATGAGCAAATGTATCAAATTGCATATTTTTGCTCAGTTTGTGTCATATTATATATAAGCTATAAAAACCTGATGGATCAATATGAAACTCAACAAAATCACATATGCAAACTTTATATTTTTATATTTTGTCTTTAGGTTCATTAAAATGTTCCATTTCCAAAAAATAAAAAAATCTGATTGTTATTTCATATGTCAAGATTTACATGGTTAAAAGAACAGTACATATTTACTTTTTCAACTTAGTTTTCTCCATGGAACACAAAAGGAAATGTTTAATAGAATGTCCAAGCTTTTGAAGACGTTTTAAAACGTCTCCTTTTGTGTTCCACGGATGACAGAAATTTAAAAGTGGTCATGAACTGCCTTTTTTTATTATTTTGTACTGTTCTCTGAGGTCCACTTATAATGTTATCAAGATTTTTACATAGAAAAACATCATAATTTAGAAGTAATAGGCTCATTCCTGTCCTCTGTTTTGACCCCCCTCATCAGAACGCTCTGTTTGAATAGTCGTGGTGGATTGTAGACTCGGAAGTAAATGCCCACTGCTGTGATTAACTAACAGTTTAGCAGTTTTTAAAGCAATAGTGATCACGTAATAAAAATAGTTACTCACAGTTGTGTGGTGCGGCATTACTGTCAGACCCAATATAGTCGCACAGCATCGTCTTTTAGTTTCAATCTTTCTGAAAATGTTAAAGAGTTAAATTGTGCCTTGTTTGTAAATCAAGTGAACAAAGGACCAAGTTCTTACTGACGTGGTCTGGATCTTTATTAAAGGGGTCATATGATGCGATATCAATTTTTCCTTTCTCTTTGGAGTGTTACAAGCTCTTGGTGCATAAAGAAGATCTGTAAAGTTGCAAAGACTAAAGTCTCAAATCCAAAGAGATATTCTCATCAGTAATTATGTCCCCACTGGATGCTACAAATGCCTCGTTTATAATGGGTTTTAATGTTTTTGTCTCTTCGCTCTGGCCGGACAAGGCATCACAGTATGGTAGAGGCATAACATTTCCGTCACACGCTTGAGGTATTCGGCCAATCACAACGCACTGGATAGCTGGCCAATCAGAGCACACCTCGCTTTTCAGACCGATGAGCTTTGTAAAAATCGACGCGTTTCAGAAAAGCGGGGCATAGAGGAGAAACAATAATGTACAGTATGTGGAAAATAATGTGTTTTTTTAACCTTAAACCGCATAAACACATTTCATTACACCAAATGCACAAAATAATGTTCTTTTTAGCAGCATCATATGACCCCTTTAAAAATCAACTTCATCCACTCTTTCTTAATGTTAGGATCAGATGGAAGGCGGTGCGAAGACTGTGTTTTTCCACAGCTTGGCACCGCACAGCGTCATATTGTCGTCGGAGCTGGTTTCTGTGTAGACGTTAGTTTGCCTCTCTCGTTATTTACACTACATGTGCGAATCGGTGGGCGGGGCTAAACAGACAGTGATGTAGAAGCAGGCGTTTGTCTTCTTCTGCGGAGGTGGGGTTTATCCACACTATTACGTCATAAAGTGTCACATTCCACAACCTGTCGTTTTGTCAGATTGGCTTCAATATAGGCTGATTTTAGTCTAACGAGAAAGTTTTGAGTTCTGAAACTTACAGGATTTTTTTTATAGTACAATGACCTCTTATGTCAAAAGATCAAGGGAATTTTGATTTCTCAGTTCATGACCCCTTTAAAGCTATAGGGTTGGAACAACATGAGGGTGAGTGTATTATGCTGAAATGGAGAAATTGCTCAGCCCTGCTGCTCATTTTACATTGGTTTTCTTAAAGCTGCGGCAACAAGAAACTGAAGGAAACATTCATGACTGTTAGGGGGAAAATATGAATAAAAAATGCCTCATAAAGCAGTTCTCCGCTAACTACCTTTTACTATATTGCAGGGAGGTTATTACCATCCAGAAGTTTCTGGAAGCAGCAGCACAGCATGAGATATGTGGGAAGGTTC